TATTAGCATACATCTTTTCCAAATTCTACATACAAACCATCTAAGTAGAATTCATGATTCACAGTGAATTATGGGATCTTTCTTGCAATCCTAACCATATCTCCACACAATGGTTTGTCACATTTATCAACAACCACACTTAAGTATGTTATGTCTGTTTACTAAAGGAAAAAATTGATGTTCACTCAATGTTTATAAATTTCACTCTATGATTTAAACCCAATTTCAAATACAGTTTCAAATTCTTCGTACTTACAATGGCTCAAAATACTTTAATAATACTTTGTAAGACTACCGAAAAAAACATGGGATCATTTACAAAAGTTCATGTATCAACACTTTCCAACAAAATGGGATTGTTGAATAAAAAACAAACACCTACTCCAAGTTGCTTGTGCCTTAATGTTTACTTCAAATATGCTGAAGATATCATTCTAACATCTATATATCTCATTAACCGAATGCCTAGTCGGACTCTCTCCTTTGACACACCAATACAAAAACTCCAAACCTACTTCCCGTCTTAGTTCAGATCTACTTCTAAAGATGTTTGGAAGTACACTTTAGTATATATTCAATCCCATCAAAGGAACAAACTTGATCCACGTACTATTAAATGTGTGTTTATTGGGAGTACTTTTAAAATTGACCTAGTCAAACCATCAAAATTCCACATTGACTTTTTAACAATTGAATATTATCACAATGGTCTCTTGAAAGTGAAAAGACAAATACACTCTTAAGTATATTATACAATTATAATAAAAAAAATTAAAAAAACTCTATCATCTTTCATCTGGTACAACCTTAAAATCTAAATAATTTATCGAACGCTGAAGTTCGAAAATGTTTTTTATATCAATCACTTCGAATCAGTAAATATATTTACATATGTTTAATTTCGTTTTCGTTAAATTAATATACGTTTTAATCTTTTAATTTGTTTCGACATAAATTAGTATTAGTAGATAAATTTTTTTAACAAATCTATAATTTTTTTAAACATTAACAATTTGTATAAACATTGACAAGAAAAAAATGCATCTGCATCTTTAGGATCTTTTCACAGCCGGACGGTTGAAATAACTGCCCGCTGTTAAGCAAGAGGCTATACAGCCGGATAGTCGATTGTTTGCTGACTGTTCGTCATATTTTTATTTTTTTTAGATAATTTTTATTGCCGCTTATTTTTTTTCTTATAATTAAAATTTCTGTTCCGTGGTGAGAATGGTCGATAGGTATGAAAATGGATGAGTAATATTCATGGTGGTATTACAATTTTCGTAACAATGATCACATCATATGCGGGAATGTACATTGATTTACAAAATAGGCTCAATGTCGATCCCTCTCAATACGATATGGAACTGAAATTTCTATTTAACGGGCATTCATCCATTCTAATTCCACCTATGAAGGTTACTTCCAATACTGAAATGAATTATCTATTAGAATTAAATATAATGCACACGACTCCGACTATTATTTGCATGACTTTAGTGAAAAAGGATGTCGCCAAAGGTAAACACAAAGGTTGGGATAAAGCGAATAACAATGTTAATGATTTTTGGGACACTGTGGAGATAGTTCGTGAGGATGATATACCAATTTCTGAGACAGTTGCTCCTCATCATGATCTCACTATTACGCATAGAATTCCCTCCGTAAGTCATGACAATTAGACCGATCTGTATTATTTGTTTAATATTTAATATTAATTGTTTAATTAATATTTAATTTACTTGTTTATTTAAACATTTAATTAATTATTTTAGTTGGTTAAGTATATTATTTATTTAATTTTTTAATTACGTTGTTTAATTATTTATTTTAATTACTTATTTTAAAAATATTACAATTATCCCATAATTACAATAAAGAAAAAATCAACGTATAATATTTACATAAATTTAATAATATTTACAATTATCTCATAATTACAAACAAAAGTTCAACATTTCATATTTACATAAATTTAATAATATTTATAATTATCTCATAATTAAAAAAAATCTACGTATAACATTTACATAGGGAACATACCACAGTCGCCCATGCAATTGAACAATAATTGTTAGTTCGGTATTGTATAGCTAAAAATTAATTTATTAATTTAAAAAAAAATTACAACCATTTACGATATGGACTATCTCGCCGCCATCATGTCTCGCACGATGCTTGCCTCTCCTGCACAGTTACCCCCCTTGTCTAGCCATTAGAGGAACTATCACAAAATGAAAACAATTAAAAAGAAAAAAAATTAAAATTAAAAATTATTTAGCTAAAACTGAAAAAAATTACGTTTTATTATAAAATGAAAATAATTAAAAAGAATTTAAATCAAACAACCAATTATATTTATAATTTAAATAAAAATAAACTTTAAATCAATTTTCAAATTATTAAAAAAAGAAAGGAAAAAAAAAAAACATTGGGCCGACAACAACCCATAGTAGTTGGTTCTCACCAACTCCTCTCTATTTCCGGATACCTTAACCTCAAATCGGCCCCAAAATTCAATTAACATCCCTAAATCTACCTAATTAATGAATTATAAGCCACTTATACACATTATACATAAGAATTTAATGTCAAATTCACAAAACAAATAAAATGAAAAATATATAGCTTAAACACAAAAAAACTAACATTGTGTTGAAGATAATAAACGAGTTTTGTGGTGATCAATGTCGGGTAGACTGTGAGTCCTCAACTCTCGACCGGATCCCGATGGTAAACTTGAAAGAAAAAAAAATCTTGCTTTTTTCTCTCATTTCTTTGATGGTGGAAGACGGGGATATTTTGAGAAATATCATATAAAAACCTATATTAACTATTGTCTTTTCTTTTTTTTTTTAATTGGTCAAAGGCCATTATGGAAATTTGGTTGGGTCAAATGGGCATTTTCTTGTATTTCCTCTGTTTATTGGGGATTCATCCACTCAAAAAGGCTATAAATGTTTTGACATATTCACAAAAAGGACATTTATTAGCTTAGATGTCACCTTCTCGGAAAAAACACCTCATTTCCAAAATCCTACCTTTCAGTGAGAGAAATTGAGTGAAGATCGATCTTTGAATCGAGAGTTCTTAAACTTGGATATTTTCCATTCTAAACCAACATATACAAAACCATCTCATCCGACTTTCTAGTGTGCCATATACAGAAAAAAACTTGAATCATTGGGAAATGTTGGAGAACAAAATGACAATAAGATATTAATTTACTCGAGGAATCCTAAATCAAAATATAAGGAAAATCACACATCCAAGACAATAAGAGAGTCGAAAATGGTAATACGACCTTATCTTTATGATAACCTAGACTTCATATAATGATCTGCTCGTTCTCAGAAAACAAACTCGATCGTGTACTCTCCATCCTATTTCAAAATTCATATTGTATCTACAGGATTTCGTACTTTTACCGCTAGCTTTGATAAAATAGAATTTCCAAAAAATATATCGGATTTCTTGGAATCGTCCAAAGAAAGAGTTGCAATAATGGATGAAATTAGAGCCTTAAAGAAAAATGAAATCGAGAAAGTGGTTAACCTATCAAAAGGAAAAAGACGTATAGGCTACAAATAGGGTCTTTAATGGAAAGTACAGGGTTGATGGGACAATAGAATGCTACAAAGCTTATCTGGTTGTGAAGTGATATACACAGATTTATGGCATCGACTACACAAAAACATTTGTACTAGTATCTTTTGTCCTTAGTAGTTAATCTAGACTGGCATCTCCAACAGCTGAACATTAAAAATACATTCTTGAATGGAGAGTTAGAAGGAGAAGTCTTCATGTAAGGAATGAGAAAAATGAATGTGTAAACTCCAAAAGTCTCTCAGTGGCCTCAAATAGTCTCCAAAAGCGTGGTTCAACACATTTTCAAAGGTATTGAAAAGTCAAGAATACCAACAAAGACAGTCAGGTCATACCATATTCTTTCAACAATCCAAAAATGGGGTTAAGACAATTTTACTGGGGACAATATGGCTGAGATGGAAAAACTAAGCCCTCGTTTGACATCCATTAAATTAAATTTCATTTTTCTCATATTTTTAACCACACAATCTTTAATAAAATATATTACAAGTAAATTGAAAATCTTTCCTTTTTTTTGTACCATCCATTTTCCCAAAAAAAAAAATGTTATTCCATCCATTATAATTTGAAATAATGAGGACCAGGCTAAATAAATGCTTAGTAACCAAATTTGAAGTACAAGACTTGGGACAAATTCGGTACTTACTGATGGAAGTTGCAAGATGAAAGAATGGTGTTAATGTTTTCCCAAGGAAATAAATTCTTCGGTTTGGAAGCAAACCCTTGACCTTTTTCTCCCGGCTCGTACCAAGTTTTATGAAAATCAAGCCATTGCGAAGATAATTCACTTTTAGGAAAAACTTATTAGCAACCACGAGTAAAGTCATCCCCATGAATGCAATTTTTTTTTTTTTATAACTTAGGTGTCCAATCTTCGTCTGACTAATCCTGAAGAGTGGCGGCCTTTCCTCCTGGTTCTTCACCCAGGTAAATTCGGATGCGGACATAGCTTATACACACTTAAGCCAGACATTTGGAATACGGTTCTTCTTCCTGTAAACCTCCCTTTACAACGTACGGACAGGACTTCCGGAGGGGCGACATGAATGCAAACTTGTGAAGCAGAGAGATGGTAATCAAGCAAAATGACAGCTCGTGGTCATGCAAACTACCAAACAGTAACTAGGAAAAATCTTAAAATTAAGGAAAGTATAATAATAATAATAATAATAATAATAATAATAATAATAATAAAAAAGCGAAAATGTGCCCTACAAGCTAATAACCAGAATCCACATGAATGAAGAAAATGAAGTCAGGATTTACGATAAGAAGAAAAATAATTGTTAATAGATAAATGAATGATGATAGAAATTAGTTGAATTTCATTGATTACCAATACCAAAAAAATTACAGGACAGTAAAAATCCTGATTCTTCTAGTCAGTCGAGTCAACATACTTCAAACCAAAATATCTGAAAAGAGATGCATATAAACAGCCAACCTTCCTGAGCAGTTGTTGCAGTATAGGTCTCCAATTTTATGGCTGTAAAGTTCAAAGATGGGGAAAACGATCATCCTTTATGGATCCGACGTGATTCTGAGAATATATATAGATAGGATATAACTTATTTTCCATATGATTTCATCTTGATCAAACTGGGATCATCTTTACAGCAGCAGCAACTGGCATGCCAAGAAATCCGAGCAGAAAGCTTACAGCCCATTGCTGCCAAGTGAGAGGGTGCGTGTTGGCAAAAGTACCAAGGAATTCGACGATGATGATTTGGAATAGAGTTGTGCAACTCAGAACAACCACAAAAATATAGTTCTCCAATATCCCTTTGAAAACATTAATCTTCTCCATATCCCTCGAGTTTATTTCGTTGAAAACCTGCAAGTAAAACTAAGATCAATTCAATTTACTGAAAGTAACATCTATTTAGCAACTCAGAGGTAATATTGTTACTACTAGTGCGATTAACTAGTGAACCCAATTAATTTCATGGAAATAGTCATTTTCACTATAAATCTATAACTGACAAATATTTGGGGGATAACCATTGAGTAAAGGTAATTATTATTCCTGTTCCTTGAGAATTTACCTGGCAGAAAACGAATGCGTTGAAAATTAGTGTGTTAAGAATCAAATCAGAATCAGGTCCATCAAGGTTGAAGACTGTTTTTCCTGATGTCTGAAGATACCATATGACAACAAATTGATAAAACGACTGTGCCAAGATGTTCCGCCACATCACATTGCTGATGAAGTTTCCTTTCCTTCCAACAGGTGATCTCTTCATTAAGTCATCATTAGGAGGTTCAGTTGCCAGGGCAAGTGCACCAAGAGTATCCATGATCATGTTGACCCATAAAAGCTGAACTGCCGTAAGTGGGGCATTGCCTGAAAAGACGTCACCACAACTTATCAGAAACTTTAATGAAAACATATATTACACTAGTCATATTGTACAAAAGAAACCTAACATGGAGATCAGCGTGTTTACCCGTCAAGCAGGCTGAAGAGAAATTGACAACAAGAGCAACCACATTCACCGTGAGTTGAAACTGAACAAATTTCTGAATATTCACGTAAACTGAGCGCCCCCATTTTGCCACAGTAACAATGGTAGAGAAATTATCATCAAGAATTATAACATCAGCACTCTCTTTGGCCACCTGGAAATTTATGGACCAATAAGTAAGCCCCAATACGTTCAGAGAAAGAGAGTTCAGCCACATATGTAATATACTGGGGAATGATCATGAAATAAAGCCAAGACAAGCTCCATGAAGTGACATAAGGTACAATCGATCCAGGTATTTTTTCAAGGAACAGAGGTGTGCGCACTCCAAATGATTGTGGTCAATGATGATCAAGTCAAGAACTAGAAAGGAAATAAAAATAAAATTATATCTCTTCGGACATACTCATGTCTACAGCCTGGGGTGAAGACATCTCAGAACTCACATTTGACCATGAAAAGAATCTTATATTATCTCTCAAACCAGTATCCCAATAAAACTAAATATCTTCCCACAATGTGAAAACTGGTCAAAGCTAGGATGCACAAATACCTTTTTTGAGGACCCAGAACGAATCCTAAGTTAAATCAGCCACAAAATGAAGTCTAAATACAAGACATTGACATACGATTTCTGACTGGAAAGTATGGCAATTCATTAAACAAATACAATCATTATGGTCAAGTTGCAATGTTAGTGGAGTCAAAAGAGGCTCTAAAAATGTATTTTTAGTTTCCTCTTTGCCTTCCTCTTTGCCACGTCCAAGCTCAAGATGGTTGCATGTTTTTATAATGCCTGAGGTGATTCATAAAGTTGTCCACTAACATATTAACCAGTTTTTACGCTTTTAACAGCATTGTTCCGACCAAAATAATGGAATTCATCTTGAAAAAACAAAACAGTTAAGAAAAGGAACATTGAACACCATATGAACTGGTTCTCCAGTAATTTTCTGCTCCACTGGATAATTCAATTGAACAGCCCAGTAAAGCAGTCAGAAAAATATTCATAAAAAATATATAAGAGAGCTCATTGCAACTAGAAAGCCACAGATGAAAGTAATGGACGAATAAAATATCATTCAAACATCACCTCAGTTCCAGAAATGCCCATTGCAAGCCCAATATCTGCCTCATGAAGTGCAGGAGCATCATTTGTGCCATCACCAGTCACTGCAACAACCTCTTCAAATGTAGATCGCAAATGTCTCACAAGGGTATGCTTGTCCATTGGTGAAGAACGTGCCATTACCTTCCAAAGAGGTATATCAGTATCAGATACAGGTCAACAATATTTGGATAAAAAATTATGTCTATTTGTGAGCCAATGGCCAATTAGAACGAAGAAAATCGTTTATTATATGCACAAATGTCATATCTTCCCATGCAAAGAAATGTGCACCTAGAGTTAAAATGAGTGGAGAACATCGCACTAATAGTTATTCTTGGATTTTTGGGCAAAATTTAGGGGAAATGATGAATGGTTAAGCTAAAAACAAAGTTAACAGATTAGAGCTCCACACTGAAATCATTGCTAAATTTCCTGACAAAAAAACAGTACAAGATTTCAGTAACATGCAGTAGGAACACTCAGAGTGGAATCATTTCCAAAAAAGAGTACCTGTAGTTTCGGTATAAGTTCATGCAACTCTTCTTCACTTTTCACCCGAAATTCTGGGCCTTCTATTGCAATACCATCGTCAGTCAATATTCCACATTCTCTAGCTATTGCCTTAGCTGTGTTTATGTTATCTCCAGTCACCATCCGCACGGTTATACCAGCTGACCTACAAATTGCAACAGACTCCTTAACCCCAGGACGAACTGGATCCTTAATGCCCACGATTCCTATCAAAGTATAATCCTCAAAGGGAATCAAACTTTCAGCAGAAAAATCACTTCCAATATCCTTGTATGCAAGGCACAGAGTTCTGAGAGCTTCATTTGCAAATTGTTCAATTGTATCTTTCAGGATATTAATGGATGTTTCATCTAGAGGAGCGACCTCACCATTTGAGTTCAGAACTTTGTTACAAGCAGACAAAATAATTTCAGATGCACCTTTGCAATGAGCCTGAAAACCTCCACCAGGGAGCTCCAGAACTACACCCATGCGCTTCTTCACAGAATTAAATGGCTCAACTTTGACAAGCTTTGATGCTTGTCGCTCTGCTTGGAAATCTCCTCCCAGGAGCAGGCCAAAATCCAAAAGTGCAGCCTCAGTGGGTGTACCAAGAATTTCAATTTTCTCATCTTCAGTGGTGACAATCTCTCCTCCAGTGTTGGTGAATATAGATTTCGTCAAAATTCTCACGACAGAATCAGAAACATCGGAGCAGAATACAGAACTCTTCATAGAGTTACTAACTTCTTTCACCTTCCCACATATGCATGCTTTTACAACAGTCATGTGATTAGTTGTTAGCGTCCCAGTCTTGTCACTACAAATAGTTGTAGAAGATCCCATTGTCTCACAGGCAGCCAAATGGCGAACAAGTGCCTTGTCGTTCATCATCTTCTTCATGGCAAATGCAAGACTCAGTGTAACAGCTAAAGGCAAACCCTCAGGAACAGCAACCACAACAATGGTAACTGCAATAGCAAAATATTCCAGCATTTCCAGGGCATCATCTCCGGACCACCTCCAGTGGGACTCTTCTATCATTTTGCGGCTGAACAACCCTTGCAACAGAACACCAAAGGTGACAACAGCAAAAAAGAGACCTATTTTTCCAATAATTGTTGCTACTCCATTCAGTTTGACCTGCAATGGGGTCTCATCATCACCCCCTTCGCTAAGTGTAGCCATCAATTTACCCCATTGGGTTCTCATCCCAACAGTAGTAACAAGCATTTTGCATGATCCATCCTGCACTTTGGTTCCAGATAGGAGAAAAGGATACTCTGCAGTTACATTAACTGGTTCACTCTCTCCAGTTAAACTTGATTCATTTATTAACAAAGAAAAACCCGAAACAAAGAGTCCATCAGTGGGTACCTGATCCCCAATAGCAAGATGAACAATGTCACCTGCAAGTAGATCAAATATCGAAATTTTTTGCCTGTACCAATTTCTAGTAACCTGAACTGTAATCTTTTTCTTCTCCTTGTCTAAATCCTTGAACTGTAAGGACTGCTTATAGTCACTCGTTGCAGTGACAAATACTACAAGAAGTATACTAGCAACGATACCAAGTCCATCATGAGCGCCCTTTGGCCATCCTTCTGTAGCGATGCCAACAATCAAAGACACCAGGGCACACACAGCAAGTATCATGAGGGTTGTATCTTGAAGAGCTTCCCACACAAAAAGCCAAAAACCCTTGGCTGGACTCTCAGCAAACTTATTGATTCCAAAAAACTCTCTTCTTTTGTTAAGTGAATCCTCGGAAACACTAATTCCATTGTTAAGTGAAGTTGAGAGCTTGTCTGCAATACCCTCAACCCCCCCATGAACTCTTAACTTACTAAAACTGTGGTCTTCAACAATAGATCCTAACTCATCTGCACATATTTCAAAACCCGCACTCTTCACTGCCTCTGGCACAGTGTAATTTATACCTGGAGACACGGCAAAAAATCAATATAAAGTGAAAAGTTCTGTATCTGTACAGAAGGCTTCATGTTTGAGTATATGGAAAAAAATCGTACCTTGAATAAAACTGAGAGCAGCTTGTGAAACTAATAGAGCAATTCTAAGCTTTTCCTACAATATTCCACAAATTTTAGATATTAAAACAAATTCTCGAAGAATTAGAAATTATCAGAAGAAAAAGCGTCTATTAGCAAACTCCACTTTCCATGACAATGTGGAATTAGTTCAAAACCAAAAAAATCAAAATTTGAGTTTAAAATTTTCAGAATTACTGCATCACAAAATTCCGTAACTTCAGAATTATTCCTTGTGTATATGTGGCAAGATCATGCTATGGCCTATCGTAGTTCAGTTTAAAATAGAACTTAAAACTGACCTATTTAATCCATGATTTCTTTTCCATGTAATTAATTTATTCACAAATCCATCATAAATAGGAGATTTTTTAGTAGGAAAAAAAAATTCATAACAGCTTCAGAAAAGTGTTCCCCACTTCTCTTTTGTATTTCAAGCCTTGAACACGTAGGTGGATACATGCAGAAACGTTCTGTTATCCATAAGCAGGGACGGATGTTTTGGGGGGAGGGGGCCTCCAGCCCCAACAACTTTTTTTTAAAGGTTTTTTTTTTTTTTTTTTTTTTTTTTTTTTTTTTTGGGGTAAAAAACAAGTTTTTTATGTGTAAAGCCAGTTTGAAATTTTATAGCCCGATCTTCCCTATCCATAAGTATTGCCACTTAAGCACCTCATTATACTTCCTAATGGTGGAGAATATCAGATTTCATAATCATCCATTTCCATTCCAGATTAATCTTTAAGCAAAGTCTAAAAGGTACAATCATTCGCAAATGAAGGCCTAAAACTGCGAACATCTAGCTATTAATTTCTGTAGAACATTGATCACTCTGCTCCTATGAAACTAAAATTTCCCCTTTCCTTGATTTAAAGGCAAATAGAAACAATACTTGATACTTGCATTATTTTATATTTAACAAAAACCTAGTCAAATTCATGATTGAATCTAAAGAAATCTTCAGGCAAATCACACAGTTTGACTAATCAGTAAACTGTTAAGTTGTTGTTAGCGTCAACAGCTTTAGAAAGAGATATTCTTGTGGCAGTTATTACAATAAATATAACCTGGTTAGATTTTTGGATCTGGCGAACTTCACAACGCTTGTCGAGGTTAGCAGTGAATCTGAACCTTCGTTTACGATTTTTGACCAGCCAACACGCCTTCCTCCACCTCTGTAACGCCTCCTCCGACGAATTCTTCGCCTTCACCTCCGAAAACTCCTTTATATAACTTCCCATCAAACTACTTTCCTTACACTACCAAATCACAAAAAACAATCTCAGCTTATTTTACTTCCAGATGGCAAAAATATATCCTTCTAATCCACCAAATCTGCTTCTTCAAAACTTCAGCGTATATTAATAACTTTTACTAGTTTCGTTCACCTAATCCACTGCATTTACTACTTTTGGAAAAGCAGTTGACGAAGACTGCGCTTGACTCTGGAGTCTATGAGATCAAATGCATCAGCAAAAAGAAATGGAAAAATTCAAGAGAGAAATTCACTGAGATTGCAAGAGAAGATTGGTATTTTGAAGATGGCTATTGGAGAAATCAATGACTCTCTTGGAAAAGGATAAATATCCACCCTAATACCAGGCCCATGTAGCCCTGTTAACCAAGCATGGTTGGAAACTTGAAAGGATATATTCAAAATTGTACAATCCGATTGACGCTCTCCTCTCAAAGGGTGGGGCCCGTCTAATTTTTTATTTGCCTTTATTTCGAACTGAGGCCCCCTTGTGAAGGGCATGTCAAGCTCAATATACATGACGCATGACTGTGAAAGATGTTTGATTCTAATTTTTTATTTCAAAAGATTAAATTTTCGATCGTTACTTTCTTAAAGCAATCGTCATTTTTTACTTTTTCTTTTATAAGTAAAATTCATTTTTCTCTCTAATGACCAAAAAATCAAATATCATAATCACTATCAAACAAACCCTAACTATGAGCCTGTTTGGGCCCGATTTTTTCACCCAAAAAATTAATTTTTTGACCGTTATTTCACTATTTCAACCGTCATATTTGACTTCTTCTCTCACAGGTGGACCCCACTTTTCTCCTAACGGTCAAAAAATCAATTCTCAAAATCACTCCCAAACAGGCTCTATATATGGGCTTTTTCTTTTTCTTTTTCTTTTTCTTTTTTTTTTTTTTTGAATTTCCCAATAGTAAATATTTCCGTGGAGGTTCCCAACCTTTGCCAAATGTTCGAAATCATCCCTATTCATTTCAATTCTTGTTATTTTAGTCCTCAGCCTTTTCAAATTGTTGGCGAAAACCGTCCAAATAGTTGTGAAATTGACGTGTGCGAGCACATAATCTAATTTTTAAAGGACATTATCGATCCACCATTGACGAGTACCTTTCCACTTCATTGTAATTATAATATAATTTTAATAATTAGCAATGTCATCATCCTAGAAATGAAGTTTAACATAAACTAATAGGAAATTCCTATAAAGAAAAAGTTACTGAACATTGTACTTTACAAGTGCAAAACACGTCAATATAGACTTGTAATTATTAATTCCTTAATGGTGTGCAACCTAACAACTTGACTCCCGTTAAACAAATCAATTTATTTTAGAGGTATTTTCAAAAATGCCTAATTTTATGAGTGTAAATTGAAAAATATTCAATTTTTAAATTTAGCACTAAATTGTCTATTATGTCTTTTATGAAAAAAGAAACAATTTATTTATTTTTTCAATTTATTGCGGATTTTAAGAAATAGTTTCCATGAGAAGTTACATTAAAATAATGTTCTCGACATTTCAAATGTCATTCTCGATATTTGAATCACATTTATATTTTAAAAATACACATGTCAAATCACAATATTAAATATTCTTGACATTTCAAACATTATTCTCGACATTTTAAATCTCTAGAATGACATTTTATTTCGAACATGACAATTCTCTACACTTGAAATGTAATTCTCGACGTTTTTGTGTCAATGAGAAAAATAGCATTAATTGTGATTTGACATATGCACTTTTGAAATAAATATGGCAGGTTATGTGTCAAAAATTTATTGGCCAATAAAATTTTTGCAAAAATATCAATTTCTTGTCTTTGAATGGAATCATAAATTGTTCACAGAGGTATTTTGGTCCAAAATATTCCAAAATGGACATTTTTACAAGGATTTGTGAAAGTAGACATTTTTACAAATGGATATGTGAAAATTGACATTTCAAGCAATTTCCTCTTTATTTTATTTACTCATTTACTATTACATGTCCACACAATAAATTCAAAATCTATTTTGTTTTTTTTTTACTTTTTAATCACACATTTTTCAAAAAATAACTATTCAAAACATTATTTTTACACAATAATGACAATCGAATTGGGTCTAAATAATTATAGACAGTGGGGAATTCAGACAATTTTCATTGTAGAATCAAAAAATAAGGTGCCATTTTTTTTGTGTTGTGCTATTTGTACAAAGTTTGTTTACAAATCTGGTTGACAAAATAAGTGTTGGTAAAATTCAGGCCATTGATTTTCAATTATTTAAAAATCTATTTTTAAAATGATTGGTGTAGATATTACTTTATCAACTAATTTTGTAAACCAAATTTGTACACATAGTATAACTCTTTTCTTTTCTTTTCTTTTTCCTTTTTTTTTTTAAGCAACAGCACTAAAGTGGGTTGAGACTTGAGAGATTATAAGAGAGGTGACCCGGTTTTAATATTTGCAGTCTCCATTGACATTGACGAGTTGATTAGTGATGGTGTTAGATTTTGATGAAATAGACAAATTCTAATATGAGAAATTAATTAGTCATTTCAGATTGAATCATACTTTGTGTACACCAAGTTTAACAGTTTACCACATGGCAAACTATCATTTGATAATTTAAAATAAATAAAAAATAAAAATAAAAACAATTTTTCCTCCTACAAATCTTTTTAAAACAAAATCAATGTCAAGCATGATGCGAACTTTGAAGCGTACAAATGGCATTTCCCTGTCAAATTTGGGTCATTAAGGAAAAAGTCATGCACAATGCTCTGGAGATGAGGAATAATGAATGAAATTTTGAAGAAAAGTTAAACAAAAGAATAGAAATTCAGAAAAATTGTGAGGTCAATGAATTCCACGTGACACCATGTGACTCGTCCACTAATCAAAACAACCTTGAAAGTCCTTCAAATTTTAAGTTAAAAACCCACGACAAAAGAGAAGAATTATAGCATTTTGACTCATCATTGAAAATCCATGACAAAATAACACAAAATCAATGAACAGAACAAAAGATGCTATTTGAAATATGCTTTAAATAAAACAAATAAGAACAAATTTCATCTTGCACCCTTCTTTTTATGAACAAATTGTTCTCGTTTCTTGCATGTTATCTTCATTTAAATCTTTTAATATTCTTACATATTGGTTGTCTTTTTAGTTCCCTTTTCTAACATTCTTAGGCTATTTATGTACTTATCTTTATTGGTGGTTTAAAGGGTGTTGTCCTAGATTTTGCCATCACTCAAAAATGGAAGAGATTGTTTGTTTGGTATCTATAGAGAATTAAAGATTACATGATCACATACAGAAACCAAACCAACTGAAGATCATCGAATATTTTGATTCTAATCATGGATTATGAATGTGAAATTTTATTACTGGATTGCACAATTTTAGTTGGATTTGAAGGACTACTTAAGTTATTCTTTGACAATAGCGATTTTATATTTCAACAAGAGCTCAATGATGTTAATATTTATAGATATCAGCTTACTAGTTGTTAAGGAGAAAGAATTCAGAGTAGTCAAGTTTCTATAGAGCATATTAGAACAAATTTCATAATTGCAAAATCGCTTACTAAAGGACTACCACCCAAGATCTTTCATGAGCATATTGCTCACATGAGTTTCGCATGTTTTGATGATATAGACGTTAAGTGGAAGTTTTTATGTTGTTATTGTCTGATTCAAACACATTTTATGCTCATAGATATTAGGTTTATTCTGTATAAATAAATGATTCAATTATTTTCACTTTGATTAAAAAAAATTTGCTTGATCTCATTAAAGAATAAAGTAGGATAAGTTGAAAATAAACATATTTAGATCACATGTAATTTACCTTGCTATACATCCATATTTGATTTACGTCATTTGATTGTGTTGGTATATTTGATCGTTGATGGATTTAGCTATTTACTTGTAACAAAGATAGCTTTGATTCTATATTAACACAATTGATGGACGAGATTGTTCGAAGATGCTTTTGGTTATGATGGCAAAAGTTTTGAGCTCATACGGTTATGCACATATATAATGTAATGTATGTGGTCCAAGTGTGAAATTGTTGGGATTTAATTTGTCATGTAGGTCTACGTATATAATTAATTTGTGTATAAAAACTATCTTAAAGTTGATTACATTTAAAGTAATCTAATAAAGAATTAAAAGCATTGGGTTTTGGGGATCTAAACAAAGTGTGGACCTAAATATTGTAGAGATCGAATCCATTAGTATTGTATTATATGATGGACAAATACATATGAAAATTATATATAGGTTTATGATCCATAATTCATATGTGATTCTTATTTTTTGTGCTATCACACCAACACAAGAATACAAAAGAAAACATATCGAAGAGAAATATCCAAAATCGACAATCAAAATTAACAATCAACAATCAAGAACAATTAATCAAGAAAAATGATTGAAGTAATCAAATTGAATAATAAGGCAATCAAGATTAAAAGCAAAATGCCAATCAGGCTGGGATTGCAAGTTGATCTTTAAGATTAAAAATTCAAGATACAAAGTCATGGATCAGGATATGTTCATCATTAATTAATTCTGTTTTGATGAATTGACATGGAGATCTTGGTAATTCATTAAGTTTTATAAAATTTAAGTTTCAAAATATTCAACAATTTGACATCAAAACCATTGTGCTTATGATTTTAAGCCCAGGAGTTCAGCTTAGTGACCCTTTTTGTCCAAAAAAAAAAAATGATATTATTCATCCAATTCTTAAACAATTGATTGAGTCTACAAATACATATGTATCAATATTATAAAAGCATTTGTCTTAAATTAGCTTTAATTTTTGTAACAATTCTCAATATAACTATACATTTCATAGTGTTTCCCTAAGATGCATGTTGTGCATGTGTATTGCTCCAAATTTGCCAGAAGCTAATCACCATTAGCACGCTTCACTTGGAATTTATGCAATCGACATTAAAGTACCATTCTTTTATAGAAACGCCCTTTGTGAAAGCATTTGGCAGTAAACAAAGGTGATAAGATTTCAATAATAATAATAATAAAAAGAAACCAAAACTGTTAGAAAGTACACAAACAAGGAAAAAAAATCAACCTGAAAAACGTAAAAATAATTACCAAAACACAAAAACCTAATTATCTATTTTTACATTGAGTTTTGCTAGGGGTACATACTTTGGTGTACCGAAGGGTATATACCCTCTCATATGTGGGTGGGACCCATGTGAAAAAGCCACCCTCATGTGAAAGGGTGTACATCCTTCGGTACATCAAATTATGTACCGTTAGTTTTTGTTTCGCGCGGGTTAGTCGCTAACAATTAAAAGGGATCAGACGATTGTGTAAGGGACGA